AGAGAGAGAGAGAGAGAGAGAGAGAGAGAGAGAGAGAGAGAGAGAGAATAGACACATGCACAGAAAGAGTCTGGTGGGCTGTGCACACTCTGATGGAGTTGCTAAGTTTTGCCCACACTAGTCAGTTGTTTGTAAACACTCACATTGTACTTGGATCAGAGGAAGGCTTTGACATTCCGAGCCTGACTCAAGGAAGGCCTTGCCACCCCATGAATCTGAAACATTGGGTCCTTGTCATGGCTGTGTTCGTGTCAACAATACACACCCACTCAGGACTTGCTCATTTCCCCACACCTTGTCTCAAGAGAAAACTACGGCAGAGAAGGATACTGGCATTCGACAGATCACACCCAGTATCATACTCTGGTCTTCCCACAAGCGTGCAAAGAGACCTGAGTTTAACTCCCCAGTGTCCAGGAGTCATGTACACTTGTAACCCAGTGCTTCAGGGATGGGGATCTTCAGGGAAGATCACAGACCTACTGGACTCCAGCCTAACATAACATTCGGGGAGAGACCCTATCTCAAAGGACTAAGACAGAGACTGATAGAAGACATCCAACATCCTGCTTTGGTCTCCCACATGTACACACAGCACATACAGCTGCACACATACTACCACACACAAACCAGTTGAGGGAACACCAACTCTATAGAAGCCACATGTGGAGTCTTTTCATGGCCAACCTCTTTGTGTGTGTGTGTGTGTGCTTATGCATGTATGTGTGTGCATGTGCATGTGGGTGTGTGTGCAAACATACATGTAGGCAAATCACCCATACATATATAGTCATTTGTTTTGTTTGGTTTTTCAAGGCAGGGTTTCTCTGTGTAGCCCTGGAACTAATTTTATAGACCAGGCTGGCCTCGAACGAAAAGATTATCCTGTCTCTGCCTCCCTAGTGCTGGGATTAAAGGTGTGAACCACCAACATCTGGCTAAATAACTAAGTTTAAATAACAGGAACCATTCCCTGGGGAGAGGATCCAGAACTGTGTAAGAGTGGAGAAGCAGATCCAAGCACAAACATACATGCATTCATTGCTCTGCTCGACTGTGAATATGACCAGCTGTTTCAAGCCTGACCTCGATAGTGACTGTAACCTGAAACTGTGAGTCAGATAACCCCCTTCTCCCTTGAGTTGCTTTTGTTAGGGTGTTTTCTCATAGCGACAGGAAAAGACACTAAGATAGCATGCTAGGTGATGAGGGCCTTGTGGCTGTAATGGTTCTAGGATCTGAGAGCATCCCTGGCCACGCCCTCACCCACCATTCCGCAGAAGGATGTAGAGCAACAGAACGCGGATCTTGTCATAGGGCGGCACCGAGGCATCCAGCAGCACCGGGACAATTAGCTTCATGGCGTCCTTGATCTTCTCACCCTCTGCATCAGAGCCCATGGCCAGGTCCTGCACGACATGAGAGTTAACTGTGCAGCTGGCTGCCGTGGGAGCACAACAGAGCAGGGGCATATCAGGGACTTTGGTAAGATGATTCCACCCCCTATCTCCCCTAGAAACTGGTTTCCTGAAGTTCATCTGAGCACAGGCTGAGCCCTCCGCATAATCTCCAACTCTCACTCCAGTCCTGACTCTAAGCACAACTCTGCCCTACTCTCCAAGACCTCCACCAAGGCCCATCCTTACAAAGACACCTCTTCCCAAACCCCATTTCTCCTACCCTCTGAGGCCCTGCCTTTCCCCCAAATTCTCCCTACCAGAGGCCCGCTGTGAGTTCCTGTCCCTGCTCCCCAAATTTTGCCCCATGGAGGGCCCTGGCCACCTCTTTCAGGCTTTTTTCCTCTCTAAGCTCTACCTCCTGGGGAGCCCCACCCCTCCCTAGGTCCTGCCTCCTGAAGGGCACCCTCTGAGGCCCCATCCCTCCCTTACTGCTGCCTTCCCAAACCTCCAAAGGTCCTGCCCTTCCCAAAAGCCCCAGGCCCACCTGCTCCACGCTGCACAGCTTCTCCACCGAGCCCTTGAAATGCTTCATGCAGTCATCTGCTAAATGCAGGTGCGTAGAGTACTGCAGGGTGGGAACTGGGTTAAGAGAGACAATCAAGTCAGGCAGTCGGCCTGAGCCTGGGTAGGTTTGACTGTCCGAGCTTACCTTGTTCAACTCCTTCTGATACTGTGGCATCTTTTTCAGGATGTGGGACAGGTCTTTGATGTTGGCCTGAAGTAAGGGTAGGAGAGGGTAGAGAAGGGAAGGGTGAGGCCAGGCCCCTGCCCTATACCAGGGGAGGTTCCACTCCACTCCAGGCTGAAGTCCTGCCCCACCATGGCCCTCTACCTTATCTGTGGTCAGCCGCTTACTCTCACAGAATGTCTTCAGGAGCTCCGTGACCTTCCTAGCCACGATCAAGGGCAGGAGAGGGGAAGAGAAAAGATGCTGAGACATTTGGGGAGGGAGGCCTCTTACTACCAGCTAATCGGAGACACCTAGATACATGTACCAGTCCCAAGCCATGGGGATGCACTGGGGTGATGTTTGGAAAGAAGCAAGTCAAGGTTGTCCCTGAAGACTGTAACCTACAGAGGGACAATCCTGAGGAATGAGGCCTGGATGCCTGGGGCCCTCCCACGCCAGCACCCGTGTCAAGCTCTCACTTGGAAACATCTGCTATGTGCATGTGCCGAAGTTCCACCCACAGGTCATCATCTTCATCCAGCAGTACAGCCTTCTCCCGGGACTCACTCAGCCCTGTGGTCTCATACCTGGAAGAACAGGACAGATCAGAGGACACAGGACTTAAGTTGGCAAAGGATGGGGTGGCAGGCATCTTCCTGGTTCCGTCTACCTGTATGTGTCCTGTTCGATGTTGAGAAGATCATAGGCCATGGCTTGGAATGTGAGTTCATGTAAGAGTGGAGACACGGGGTCTGCTGCCCGGTCCATTATGAGCAGCTGCGAGCGTGTTTTCTCTGGGCCCTGGGCAAGGAGAGACAAGAATGACGACACCGACTGTGACCCCACAAAGCCTCCCTGGCACCTCTCCAGCATTCCCCTCACCTCGCCCAGACTAGGAGTGTCTGCTTTGAAGGCATTCAGCTTGGCCAGGACAGCATGGGCCAGCTGGGCTGTGTCTTCTGGACCCCTGGAGGTGATGCAGTCAAACACAGGGACATCAGGATGTGGAGGCTGGGAAGACTGGGCACAGACTGGGGACATCAAGGATAGGGGTGAGGGTGGCAATGAGGGATCTGGGTAAAGGTCAAGTTAAAGACTGGACCCAGGAGCTGGGGAGATGGCTAAGTCAGTAAAATAGTTGCCATCCAAGCATGAGGGCCAGGCTCAATCCCCAGAGCACTGGAAAGTGTGCTTGACTTTCCGGTATGGGAGGTGGAGACAAGGATCCCCGGGCTCGGATGGAAAACCTGGGCCAGGGAAGAACCTTCTCTCAAAAAGACAGCTAAGGGGCTAAAGGCTCCAACTGCTCTTCCAAAGGACCTGAGCTCAGCTCCCAGCACCTACTTCCAGAGGCTCGCAGCCCGTCTCTCTAGCTCCAGAAGGTCTGACCCCTCTTCTGGACTACATGAGAACCCTCACATGCACACACATGCACAGTTTTTTAAAAATCTTTAAAAAACTAAAGGTAGATGGTGACTGAGGAAGACACCTGAGGTTGACCTTTGACCTCTACACATACACACATGAACACGTGCATACACATAGGGAAAAAATGGACACAGAATGAGCGTGAAGGTAAGAGGGCAGCACTGGGGAAGGGGTGGGATAGGGCCCACTTGCGGTAGCGAATGGATGGGTATTCCTGGAGAGTGGCACACAGTGTGGCTATCTGCTGGGCCAACGCATCAAGCTGCCGCCCTCGCACCCCTGCTCGAAATGGGCAGTAAAGGTTGTAGGTGCTGTGCGGGGCATCCAGAGAGAACACCTGGGAAAGACAAAAGTGTCACAATCACTAGAGAGGACACCCAACCCAACTTCCCGCTGCTGTCCCCTGCATTTCCCAGGGGTCTTCAATATCCTCTGGAACCTGTTTTGCCAGCTTTGAAGCAGGCTAGGATACTCCCTGTTAGTATTCTGTCTGTTCTGGATACTCGGTCAAGGACAGCCCACCCCTTCCCCACCACAAGCAGGGGCTGTACCTGAGCCTCATAGGGGAGGAAGGCAAGGTGGATCTCTTTCAATGTCTTTACCACCTTCGCCAGGCGAGAGCGGCCCAGTTCACTGAACAAGGGCTCAGGGCATGCTGGGTTGGCAGAGAGAGACCATCAGATCAATGTTCTGTCACCAAACTCCCCACCTCAGCACAGCAACCAACACCCTGGTTAGCCTCACTCACTGTCAGTGAAGAAGATATGGGCTGCTTTGTAGGTGAAGGTTGGTGTCCCCTGGAAGTCTGCAATCAGGGCCTGAACCGACTGGGGAGTAGAGATCACTGTTAGAGTCAGGCTCTGCACCCCAGATCGACCTTCTGCATAGGACCCCTAACTGATGTTCATCTCCCCACTGTGTACAATTGGCACTTGTTGAGGGGGATTCACATACACACATACATTAACACATGCACACATTCTGTACATTCACACGCCTAAATTCTGATATCTGCACACATATACACCACAAATCCTGATATGTACATACACATATATGCATAAATACCTACATTCTGATGTGCATCATTGGCATGTGCCCGCATGCACACATGCACCCTGACATGCATATGCACAATTCTGATATATACACACATACACTGGCACTTGCATACACATACACATGTGCATGTTCGCCTCGTGTGTGCACATACACATATTACGCACATTCAGATACTATTGACAATACACCATTCAAGCACGCACAAACCCATGCACACAGAGGCTCGCTCCTGCAGGCACCTTCTCCGTGGGACTCAGCAAATAGATTGCCTCCAAGCTGGGAATGGGTTCTCTCCGTTTGTTGATGTCTTCCACAACTAAAACCAACAGAGGAAGAGACACACATGGTGGTATGTAGGAGGAGACAGGGGAGTCTCAGGTGTGGGGAACTGTTTTAAAGGCTTGTACCACTTGTACCACTCCCTTTGGGTTCTTAAATAGAAATATATCCCTAAGGTCCCCCCACTTAAAGAGCTACAGTCAAGGTTCTGCACATTTGGAGTACCACACCCATACTTTTGGTATCTATACACTCTTGAGAACCCAGAGTCCACCCAAGCTTCCTACAGAGACACCATATAGGGGCTGCAGGGTCATTGTTTTATTTGTATGTAGCCGGGGCTGGCTTTGAACTCATTAGCTGACTAATTTTAAACTTGTGATACTCCTGCCTCCTCCACCTCCTGAGTACTGAGAGTATAGACATTTGCCACCATGACCATTTTATATGGTGCTAGAGACTGAACTCAGGGGGTTGTTCATGTTAGGCAATCTCTCTGCCAAAGGGGCTATGTTCTCAGCTCAGGAGGTTGAGTTGGTTACAGTCAATGAGGCTGACTCTTTAGGGACTGCAATCAGGAAATCCTACATGAAAGGAACCCTATAAGCTTCCTTGCTGAGAGCATGCATTTGGCCACATGCTCCAGGCTACGTGGGGAGAACTATGCACTGAACCAGTATGGAGGGATCCCACACTCAAGGGCACATCCAGATGTCCCACATTCAAGGGGTCCACCTCAGATTCATCCACTCACTGGTGATGCCCTCCGCCAAGATGTCTGACATTTTACAACAGGATGACAAGGTTCGCATGCTTGGGTGGTCCATGATGAGTACCTGACCAGATGGATGGACACAGACACAAGGAGAGGTGAGCCATGCAAAAACAATCTGTAGCTGGTCCTAGGAGAATCAGAGGCAGTGGGGCATCTACATCTACCCAAACCCGCCCTGGGGACCAACAGCTTATTCAAGGAATTCTTGAAAGGACTCTCACATTCTGGGGTACCTGTGTAGATTTGGATAAAAGGCTGCCCCTGGGTATCCAGACATCCTGCCTCGGCCCCTACCTTCCACTCGCCATCCTTCTTAACACTCCGGATGACTCCGCTTAGAATTTCTACAGGGAAAAGAGAAGGGGAGAGGGCTTGGGACACTTGTCCTCTAGGCTGGACCCCAATCTGGATCCTGAGTGGAAGCTCCTGGCATTACCCCCAATTTACGGATAGTCAAACTGAGGTGCTCTGAGGTCAGATAACTTAGCTAAGCACCCTCGTGTCTACATGGTACAATGCACAGGCGACAGGTACATCTTAGAGAATTGAGTGAAGGGGAGTGAGGGCCTCCTGGTGTCCCTTAGACTAGAATGCTTGGTTCCCAGATCTGAGGGATCCTATCAACCCCTAAGCCTGCTTCCCACTAAGCCTTGTGTATGTAGGGAGGTTTCCTTTTAACACCAAGGTACTGGACTTTTCCACAAAAACCTGTTCTGTCCAGAGGAAGGAGTAGGGGAAAGGGGAAAAAAAGTGGCCTTGCCCAGAGCCTGGCCAGTGCACCAGAGTTTCGAGTCCACTGTTATCAGGGCGGAAGAAGTAGCTGAGGCCGGAACTACTGGAGGTGGGGGAGGGGCATCGTAAGCCCTCTTCTCCCCACCAAGAACTTGAGTTCGCAAGGAGGAGAAGTTAAGCCTTCCAAGGAGCTCCTAGGCATGATGCAAAAGAGAAAGTGTCCTCTTCATCACCCCCATGGGGCATGTGCACACCACCTGAGTGCTCATACATCCTCGGGGTCGTTGACCAGGGCACTGTAGGACCCCTGGGACCAGCCCCTGAACTCTCAGGGTTTAGACACTCGTCAGCCTGTAGCAGAGGCAGGCCCAAAGGTCTAGACGCGAAACTATGCCTCCCTCTCGTCGCTTGTTTGAGACCTCCCCATCCCAACTTTGTTCTGCCAGCTGCAATTGGGGGGCAGGCAGTCCAGCTGGGCCCAAGACCCCGCCCGTCCTCTCAGGAGTCAGGTGTTCTCCCCGCCGTCAGGATCCCGGGATCCCAGAATCCATGCACCTCACCTCTCCCGAGGTCCCCAGCCCCCCAAGGGACAGGCGAGAGAACACCAGAACCCCGCCGCGGGGTGACACTCACTTTCCCCTACCACCGCCTTCAGCCCCAAGGGCGCCATCTTCCCCCAAGGAGTAGCGCCGCTTCCGGGTCGGTCCCAAGGTGGGGGCGTGGCCCTGCGCGTCATCCACGTGGGCCCCACCCCGTGGGCTCGGATCACGCCCCCTGCGCACCTGGTCCCGCCTCCCGGTCATCTGTTCTCGCCCTACCTCTAGGAAGTTGGGTCCCAGCAGCACCACTTCAGGGCAAGGCAGAGTGACAAGGACTCAAAGGAACAATCGCTAGTTTGTGTGCGCCCTCCTTCATGGGAGGAATCCTTCATGGGAGTCTTTAAGTGTTCCCTTGCTCACGCACATTGGGATTACACATATTGCTTAGCGAGATGTCAGAGCGTAAAAATACTCATCTCGCCGGAGTACAAGTACCACCCTCCCCAGAAATTCTTCCGTCTGTGATATAGTGTGCCCACTCAAAGGACAGCGGGACTTTGTAAATCTGGAACTTTACAAGTGCCCTCTGGGATCCAAAGACTAGTAGTACAAGCTTGGGCAATATTTGGTAGGGAGTACACGGGAGACTCCACTGTGTACTAGGCGCCTTTTCTATGCAGCTTGCTCTCTCAGTCTTAACATTCTGTAAGAGCCCCGTGGTGAACCGGGAACATAGATTCGAGCACTAGGACCACGGATCTCTGCCTGTTCATGAAGGAATGCGTCTCACTCTTTTTCACTAGCATATATTATTGCACATGATAACGGGTTTCACTATGACATTTTCATACATGCATATAAAGTATGTTGATCATATTCACTCTCATTTCCCTCTTATACCCATACTGGATAATCCCTTTCTCCTTTCCTAACTAGTGCCCCTTCTACTTATATGTCTGGTTTTGTGTGTGTGTGTGTGTGTGTGTGTGTGTGTGGTGTGGTGTGTGCGTGTGTGCCAATAGGTTTTAACTGTGGTTGCTTACAGGAGCATAAACAACTTACCAATGGCTACATCGCTGAAGAAAATCAGTCTCTCTCTCTCTCTCTCTCTCTCTCTCTCTCTCTCTCTCTCTCTCT